GGTACTTTTGTACTTCGGAAGTACAGAAGTCCGCTTGTTCCCCCTTGCGTAAACCGGGACCGTATTTTCGCTGTATAAGCTCGTAAAGACGGCGTAATACTATCGTGTTCTATAGAACATACGGTCTGTTTTACGTGTCGTATTTTTATCGTATTCGGCCGTTTACAGATTGAATTCTTCGACTGGGGCAAATTTCAATATAAAGGTAATGACATACGTCAGTAACATCAACTTTACTTTGGCACTGGATTAGTTTTAGTAATATCGCTCTTTCTTTTAAGACGGTTGTCTTTAGTGACGTTAATAGATTGAAGCAACTCTTTCGGTTTCATATTTTTAATAATGATATACATCCAATAAAATCACGGAAAGACACTTAATAGAATGAGAAAGTATATTACTTTAGCAGGAGAATATTTTTGCGTCAATTAGAATATGAAAAATAAGCGCGTCAGAACTGAATTTATGCATGAAATTAAACGTTGTACTCTTTTTATATTAAAGCAGCTTTCTAAGCTTAGATTACATTCAAATATTTTCTTTTTCTATGTCATCTTGATGAAAAAGTTATTTCTCTTCTTTTTTTACTGATTATTTCATAGGTGGGAAGATCCTTGGTTTCTCTCTCTATAGAAATTATGTAAACAAATCTTTTCATTACATCGTGAAATAAGACTTCAGACATGTCAATTAATCTTTATTTCATATAGAAGAGTACCTAATAGACGGCTGCTTTCTTATTCTATTCAAGTCTTAATTCAAAGAAAAATAACGATAGCTTGTGAATATATCGATATTTATTGCATATTGACAAACAATAATTACTTATAAGTTTGTAAAATACAAAATACACGTTTGGTATCTTAATATCAATATGGAACAATTAATACTAGCTCAACAAATTCTTTTCATAACGGATAAATATAAGTTTTATGCCGGTATTTTCAATTTAATTGTTGGACTTATTGGTAATATTGGGATAATTTTGGTTTTTACCACACTACGACTTTTCCGAGGAAATCAATCTGCTTTTTATTTTATTACGGAGTCTATTTCTGATATTGGCTTATTTCTTGCATTAAATATACCAAGATTTGCAGGTCGTATCCTTGGCTATGATCCAGTTCAAACTTCAATAGTCTGGTGCAAAATACAAAACATGGCATTACAAGCATGTGCTTTATATTCTCTATTTACTATATGTTTTCTTTCATTTGATCAATATTTATCAACAAATGTTCGTCCTAGTTGGCGACAAAAGAGTACACTTAAATTAGCTCATGTCCTTACAAGTGTTGGTATGTGCTTTGCCTTGTTACATAGCTCAACAGTTTTCATTATCTATGAAATTCAATCATCATTGGGTTGTAATGTATACAATCCAATAGCAAAGAATTACTATTCGTTTTTCTATTTACCAATTTTGGCCAATATTCTTCCATTAGCTTTTACTGTAACATCGAGTTTATTGGCTTATCGAAACGTTCGTCGAATAGTTCGTTTGCAATTGCCAGTAATTCGTCGACGTCTTGATCGTCAAATGACAACAATAATTTTGGTACGTGTAATAGTTATGGTTGTACTTGGCTTTCCATATATCATTATTTCTCAATATGCCATGCGTTTAAATATCACTGAAAATAATTATCTGGAAATAGCCATCGTTAGTCTATTATCAGCAATATTTGCTTCACTGTTGCATGCTAATTTTACAGTAAATTAAAATAGAATCTTTTACTTATAGTATTGTAACTGTTTCTCTTTATGTTGAATATTATTTTAGGTCAATTTTTATGTTTTTCTGATAGTATCATCACGTTTTCGTCGTCAAACAAAAACCATTTTAGTGAAAAAGTGTTGGCGATCAATCAAATCTTGTTTTAATCAAAGACCAACGACTATTCGTATGAATCAAATTTCTCCTGAAACACCTCCACCAAGTGTTTGTCATGTAATACAGGAAATAAAATAAATGATATATATGATAGCTATTTACTTCAATCATAGGTCTAATTACTTTTTCTATAGAAGAAAATTCTGATATTTTTCTATTTAATTATTTATATTCTGTAAACTTTAGCAGATCAGATCTTGAGATTTATCCAATTCCGAGTTGGTCCGATCGTTATCAGATCGCTTCAGAGTAGTTCTCTCGCTATCATCAATCAGAATAGTCATGTTCATTCTTGTCGAATAAATAATCGAGAAATAAAAATACATAAGTTTCAAACATTCCATCGTGTTGTTTATATGTAGCTATATGTGCAAAACAAAATGGTGAATGAATTGTCAACAGACAGAATCAGACAAACTTATATACGACACATATTTCTTTTATATGTAAAATACACATCTAATGTTTTAATTAATTATTGAATCTATTATAAGACAGTGCGAAAATTCTTTCTTATTCAAGTGTTTATTATCTTATCAATGTCAATAAGAGAGTAATTGAATAGATAAAATTTAAAAAAAAATAATCCTTCTTTTATTTTCCTCAATACATAAAAAGAATCGATGTAAATTTTCTTTTGCATGTCATCAACATGAAATGAATGTAATTTTGCTAATTACTTTATTACAATAAATCCCACAAACTTTCAATTGAAAGATTTATCACAAAATGACAAAATAATTTGTTCAGAAAACTTCGAAATCATGTTGTATAAAAATGATACTTTCTTTTTCTTTGAATATTGCTTCAAAGAGATTTAGAAGTGAAACATCAAGTTAGTAAAAATCCCTCGATGGAAGACAGATGGTTTCAAGAATAGAAACGATCGAAAACTGCTTACTTCAAAATTCTATGAGACAGTATTTTGAATTACTTAGGTCATTCCAAAAGTAGTGCCGGAGGTATATCAATTCCTTATAGAAACCTCGGCAAAACCTTTTTTCTATGCAGTCTGATAGAGAAAAGAAAGGTCTATTTTTCTATGCTATTTGATCATACTTTAACTAATGTCATGGTAATAAATTTTTTTCGTTAACATGTTTGCTCGTTGTAAGTTGTACAGCGCAGTTTTCAATTCCTTATTAGTTGTATTAACAACCAAAATATGCCATAAGATGCAGCGTGAAAAGCTCTACAATTTCCATAAGACCACTTATTTTTTAGTTGCACTTTTTGTTTTCAAAATGGACAAAGTTTTGAGTGATCGAACTTTGGCCATTGTAAAAACTGATCGCGTAGAATTTTCCTTTTTTTTCAAAACAATTACAATAAACTTTATGATGTAGATTGTAGAGCTTTTCATACTGCATCTTCTGGTGTATTTTGTTTTTCTTTTGATAAAGTATATCAGGTGGATATAATGATCAGATAACAAGAAATAAATTCGTCGTGTATCAAAACATTATCTTTTTCCATGATCGAAATTTGATCGCTCAAAATTTAGTCTATTTTAAGAACAAAATGTGCAACTAGAAAATAAGTAGTCTTATGGAAATTGTAGAGCTTTTCATGCTGCATCTTATGGCATATTTTGGTTGTTAATACAACTAATAAGGAATTAAAAACTGCGATGTACAACTTACAACGAGCAAACATATTAACGAAAAAAACCTTATCGAAAATTTATTATCATGACATTAGTTAAAGTATGATCAAATACCATAGAAAAATAGACCTTTCTTTTCTCTATTAGACTGCATAGAAAAACAGTTTCGTCGAGGTTTCTATAAGGAATTGATATACCTCCGCCACTACTTTTGGAATGATCTAAGTATTATGACACTGCACTGATCAATCAGCTTTTATATGCAAAAGGATATCTGCTATATTTACATCTTCTAATAGCACCAATTTCCTTCAAATGAAATGAAAACCTAATCACTAAATATAGAATGCTCTGATAGACGTTGACACTGGTATGAAGTGACTGGAATGGCAGAAAGTTGATATCGGCTATAAATCCTGTGCAAATCTGTAACAACAACACAACAGAGATGTATATTTCATGTTACATTTACTCGGCAATACAATCTGATTTTAATATTGATTCTATAGTCCTGGCAATAATTGCATATATAAAACGACAAAAACATATGTTACAGTCATTTTCTAATCATCGACAATCGATGATATGCTAAGCAAAAGCATCTTTATTTTACTAGCCTTCTCACAGTTTACTGTCAGGAAAAATTTCGCGAGTCGCTAAAGATGTGTTAAAAAGTTTTTCGATGCTATTTCATATTCTATTAGATTCATCTAGAGGAGAAACTACAACATGAACAACCATTGAGTTGCCAACGAACAATACTCACGTTCACATTTATTTCACATAACATAACAGCATGGTTGGCGGCTGATGTATGGACAGAAAACACATTGTAATTCAACAACCATCGCTCAGCAGAAACCAATTGATATTGAAGATTTTGAATGTGATTCGAACTGTCCAGTAGGCATTCAACGGATTGTTTCATCTATCAAGGTATCTTGTATGGACTTTAACACACAATATGATTATAATACTGGTCAAAGCTCAAATCACTTCATTGTATCAATTAATTTGAATTTCGAGTTCACATTCAAAGGCGGTGATTGAATTTCTTTCATCACAGCAGGAACTGATCGGTATCTGTCAATCCGTATTAACACGGCTCGACATGCTAACGACAGGTAAACTGAAATTTGTTTTTACTCAAATTGATATTTTCGATTGTTTAAAATGATTTATAAACAGCGTAACGAAGCTAAATTATGTTTCAATTGTTCTTTCATGATCCTTTACATTGAACATTTCCCAGCCATGCATCTACACTCACTTCTGTCACATTATTTTACAGATTCAATACAGCATCTAACATTCGTATAAAACCCGTCGTTCGCGTACTCAGTGGACAATTCGAGTTCCAATGTCGGACACTGATGGTGATACAGTATGCTGTCATTGGGGCAGCAATTCAGTTTCTCGTTAAAGTTGTCAGCAATTCTTCAGGATGTAGTACTCCTCTAGCACATATTGGAGCTCCAGGATGTGGGTGAAGAGACACTCACATTCATACCCACCGTCGATGATGTCACCATTTGCTTCTTCTCTTATTTTCAATCACATGTTCACAGAAGGATGAATTTTTATGCATACTACGTTTCTCAAGAAATTTTAAATCGAAATGAGTAATAGTTATTGTTCGAAAGTATTTTATATTTGTCTATCACTGTCACATGAATCATACAAGATAACTAATTTTATTTCTATACTAAATAGTATAGTTATATTGTTACTTCTATATAATAAATTTTACATGTGACTATAATAGCGAAAAACTATGGTTCACCTCATCTGTCCTTATCTTAATGTTATTTTCTTATTCAACATATAATTAAAAGGTAGTAAAATATTTCTGCAAACAAATTTTGCATTTTAGTACAACTATATTAGAAATGTATTTAAACATTTTCTTCTTCATTCATTGTAACATCGTTAAAACAAATAAATATGTCAACAATTCCTATATCTTAAATACGACAAGAGGAAAAATTTACTCTTCATTTGTCATTGTCTGGACTATTAGACTCTTATTTTTTTGTAAGCTGTATGTCTTCTCATGAGCTACAAACCGATTTTTTTCCTTAATGTCTGTTGTGAGTAAAAATAGATGAATAACGAAAAAGATAAAATAAGCAATAGCTTTTCTGAATCAACCGCTCAATAATTAGATTTTTAGCTAAAGAAGAGTAAATTCCATTTCAGTTAGCAACTAATTGATTTAATTTTAATAGGTACTATGATCATTGTATAGGACTATTACAATTAAATCGATATATTGATTTCTTGTAGAATTTACCAGTAGCAGTCAGCTCATATTGAAAACGATTTTAATAGATTGTTTATATTACTTTAAAAGTTGTGACGTGATTTGTAAGCATAAAAGTAGATAGATACTTCACCATGCTGCTTCATTATGGCCGACTCGATTGAATAGTTATTTCGAAAAGATTAGATAGGACTAAATGTTTAACTTATCCTTGAAAATGATTAAAACAAAAACGACAATGATGGTGCCTTTATAGAAACGTCTACACTGGAATGACATCACTTCTTTCTTTAACTTCTTTCCTTCCATAAGGGTCGTCTTATCACTAAAAATGACATCGTCATGTATGCTCGAATTGTTTTCATTTTCTAGATTACGACAGCATCATTCTACTTACTGCGATGGTCGTGATAGACATTTTAATCCTACTCGTCTCATTAGCATTTAACTGTCTTGTTGCTCATCCTATGATCTATTCACATGTAGCTATGAAGTGAAACAATAGCTATTTTCATGGGTATTTCAGTCAAGATCTTATAAATTTGTTCTCAGGATCTAATTATAGATCTTGATACAAGACAATTTGATTATCTTGTACCTAAATTTTCAAGATCTGTTCACTTTACTGTACTTTATATCTTGACTAAGATCTTGCCTTAAAAGATGTTTCACTAGAGTGTAAAACAATAATACTCATAGATTGTTGAAAAGAGATGCAAAAGACTAAGACTTGACGAATAATTTGCTGGACACTTTCAAGATGTCACATAGAAAATTGTTCATAATCTATTGAAAAATAAAGATGATAAGCATCGATAATTGCCGTAAAATCTATTTTAATGAAGATAGATGACATTAAACGTAATTCATGAGAATTGAAACGTATCTAAGCGTTAGAAGATGGAACTTCAATTGGTATTTTATATTCTGTCAAATTTAACGATAATGAACATATCATGACAATATACAATCTATGTCAAATAATCACTCACAGCGAAGTCAATTACACAATTGTGGATTAGTTACCTGATAACTCACAAAACTAATCATATGAATTTTATCTTTTTACTCTCAATGTACACAATTTTTACCATATACTCTTGAAAAATATATTGACATTCTTTTAATATAGGTGGACCAGAAATCCTAACTCGATTTGTACCATAAGCCTTTATATAGTAAAACCCGTAGTTGTAAATTTGTCTCTAT